GGAAACCCATGTACATGACCAAAATGACCAAAGTGGCCATTTAAGACATGCACAACCAAACGTCACAACCAAACGTAGCCGTCCTATGCGACATGACACGTGCACGTACGCGCATAAAGGCATCTTCTCGATAGCAGTGTGTGGTGAAAGGGTTCTACTGATCTCCAAAAATTCAATCCAAGTCGTCAAGTCCCTCGTTTGGTCCATAAACCACTTGTCCTCACCCGTACTGCTGTCAACAGAAGCAAGATAGACGCTCAGCAGGAATAGCTGCTGGTTGAGCCAGAAAAGCATCTTCTTCCGTTCACTTGACGGCATGTCGTCAATATTCCGGCTTCTTTAGCTGATTGTTAGGAACGTATGTAGCGGTTTGCTACATCTCCTCCTTCTCCGGCAACTTGGCGCTGCTCATCCTCGCGCAGCGATTTGCGCTGCTGGTGCTCGTGCAGCGACTTGGTGATACTGCTTCTCGCACAGTAACTTGGACGCGTGTCGTGGGCCGGCTGCTTTTTCCTTCTCCTCGTGGAGTGGAGTACGAATCTTTTGTGCGTTTCAAAGCCGACTAGGCAAATAAAATTAGACAAATTATTCCCTTAAAAAATTTTCTAATCATTTGTTACTTTGAAACCCCCTATTAGAGGTTTTTAGCAGAACTGTGTAATATGAAAACAGCGGTTACTCATATGGTGATTTTGCCTAACCACAATTCGGAATCGACAAGTCCGAACAGGCAAGTGACTTCGAATCCACCATTTCAAAAGCAAATTCCTATTCGGTCATATGCTAAGGGCCACCACTAAATCGTTCTTATACCGACGTTAAATTTTAATTGGATTGGGAGAGGCACTTCACCGGAGATTTGTATCTGTGCTGCATTTTGAACTTCGTGTTGACTTCGTATCAACATCCCAGCTCACGTCATGTCACGAATCCAAGAAGAAGTGGTCCAGGACGTGCTTTTGCTAGTTCGAGAGTTAACATCGGGACTTCGCCGCCGTTACAAGACAGCCAATCTTTACGGAATCTGGAAGAAAGCACTGCTCGAAAACAACACAACTCTTGCGGCCGCAATCTACTCGTATTTGTCAGCTGAATCCCCTCCGGAGGTAACGCGTCGGGTGCCGCTTAACTCCAACGCACTTTCTAATAACCACTGTATCGAACGTTTTCGCTTCGATAAGCTTCAGATTGTGGATTTAGTGACTCGTTTTTTAATTGAAGGAATTCGAACCCGAGAGCGGACTGCTGCTACTGGTGTTGAGGGATTCTGTATCGTCCTCTACAAGCTTGCGGTTCCGATACGCTGGGTCGATTTAGATGACTTTTTCGGAAGGGATTCCAGTGGTTTGTCAAACATTTTCCTACACATGTTAGCCATTTTGGATGATAAATTTTCTCGGCTGCTTCATTTCAAGCACAAATACGGTGCGGAGAACCTCCAAGCCTATGTAGATGCTGTATTCGACGCTGGTGGCGATTTACAAAACGTGTGGGCTTTTATTGACGGGACAGTGCGTGGAATTCGCAGGCCGCTTCCCCGCCTCATCAAACGTGACGGCAAGTTTATGAGTCAGAAAGCTGATTCAACGGGCATAAGCGGAAACATGCTCTTAAGTATCAAACGCTGACAACACCGGACGGTCTTATTGTGCACCTGTATGGACCATATCCTGGGCGGAATCATGACATTAAGCTTTTCAGAGAATCAAAAATATCCGAAGCGATACGAAGCGATTTTCGATTTCAACAATTTCGGATTTGTGGGGATCAAGCTTACGGCAACGACGACATTGTATGTAGTCCGTACGGGAGCTGTTGGAAATTTGACTCAGGAGCAACGACAGGTTAACGTCAGCATGAGTCGCGTACGTGTATCCGTAGAATGGTCTTATGGACAGGTGACTAATTATTGGACTGCGTTGGACTTTAAACGACAAGCTCGTATTGGTGTCCAACCTGTTGGATCTATGTATCGAGTTGCTG